ACGCTATCTTAACCAAATGTGTTTTGGGATATTTTCATTCATCTCTCACAGTTTTCTAACTATAGACAGAGAGCTAAATACCTATTTACTAAAAAACCATCTCCTTCTGTGTTCTCAATGTGCATGCCCAAGTCAAATTCAATCTCTTTCTCTTCCCCTCTCACCTTACAAGACAAATCAATCACCAAACCATAACCGTTACCTTCTAAACATGTCTTATATTTATTCACACTTCTCTAACCCTATTGCCACTACTGAGTTTAAGCCTTCACTGTTTCTTACCTAGTTACTTTTATAGCTTACCAATTGCTGCCACTTTTGGTCACAATGTAATACATATTTCAACACCCATCACAGTGATCCCTTAAAACCACAGAATCTATTCTTATCACTTCTCCACTGCATACCCTCCCAGTGTCTCCCCCACTGTCCCTGGATGGAGTCTAACCTCCTTAACAAGGCAGAAGGCACAACTGGTCCTAGATTTTCTCTTTCTTCTCCCTTCTCTCCCTTCAGATGCTGTATCAAAGCCCGCAGAGCATCTGCTGTATACACCACGGGGACCTGTTTTACTGTTGGTATCTGCTCTAGTGCAAAACCTCATTGAAGGCAAGGGTTGTGCCCTAGTGGGTGCTGTATCATAACCAGGGCCTGACAGTGGATAAAATCAATCAAAATAAAAATTTTAAAAAGTAAATGATATCTCAGCATTCCTCAAAAATTTTGCTCTAATTTTACTTTTGCATAGGTTATATTTTAGGAATACATTATTGTACTCAATTCTGAGCTTCTGAAAAAAGTATGGTTCTCTAATAATCCCCATTTTAGAGCCATTTTCTACAATCCCCATTCCCAAGTAAAGAACTGAGGTTATATTTATGACTCCTTCTATGCTCTGATACCAAGTATTAATCATTTCTACAGGATAGGAAAAAAGTTAAACTGCAGCAAGTCAGACTGTGCTTTACCATTACTTTGACTTTATTGACACTAAGTGTATCTGAAATGAGTAGGCTGTCTGAAGAAGAGGGAGGGAAAATCCATAACAACGAATTGCCTAGAAAAGCTTAGATACTTGACCAGTTTTAAGATGTGATTATCTAGTGAAATGCATTTAAACTTTATGAGTCTGTGATGTGTCCCACAAAATTTAGTCATAGTAATTGAAGGTTCAGGCTGAAGACAGCAATCTACTCTGAACCTTAGTTTCTAAATTTAAGTGAATTTTAAAGATTTTAAAGTGAACTCACTGGGGATTTAAAAATATCATTTGTCATAGTGATGATTCTCTAACCCATTTTGTTTGGTTTGAAGTTTCATACTCTGTTGCTCAGGCTGGAGTACAGTGGCATGATCACAGCTATCACAGTCTCAATCCATTGGGCTCAGTTGTTCGTCTGCCTCAGCCTTCCAAGTAGCTGGAATCACAGATGCATGCCACCACACCTGGCTAATTTTTTTTGATTTATTGTAGAGACAAGGTCTTACCAAGTTTCCCAGGTTGGTCTCAAACCCATGGGCTCAGGCATCCTCTGACCTACACCTGTGAGCCCCAAAGTCTGACCTTCCAATCCAATTTTAACGCTTTCTATTTCAGCCCTCAAGACTACAAATTATTGCTACCATGTCTCAGTTCATATTTAGATGAAGTACATACATATCAGAAACAACATTGTTTGAGAAGGATGATGATATTCTTCTTTCCATAAGCCACAAACTATCCCTCGGTGTATCCAGAGCAGTGTGCCAAGTCTTCAGTGCTCAATACAGCAGCCACTACCCAAAAGTGGGTACTGAGCACTCAAAGTGTGGCTAGTCTGGAAGAGATGTGCTATATAAACCGAGATATGTAAATGTAAAATGCACACCAGATCTGGAAGATTCAGTATCAAAAAAGTGTAAAATATCTAATTAATAATTTTATATTGATTGTACGTTAAAGTAATATTTTAGATATATATGGTTAAGCTATATTATTAAAATTATTTTCACATGGTTCTTTTGATTTTTTAAAATGTGACTGAAAGTTAAAATTATATATATGGCTTACATTTGTGGCTTGCATTATATTTCCATGGGACAGTAGCTTTAAGCCCACTTAAAGAACTGATCAACAAGAAGACTAAAAACCATCAATGAGAGGTCAGATGTAAAATGTAATTGATAATGACACACAGAAAAAATAAATGATTCCCAAAACTTTTAAAATGGTAAATCATACTAAAAGTCAAAGACCACTTCAGAAAAAACCAAGGCCTCCAGCTTTTCTGGAATAGAAAGAATTCATATTTTAAACTATTTCAGAGTAGTACCCTTTATTTTTTACTAAAATTGTTCTCTGAATAATGACAAAATGCAAGAAATGAGGATTCTAAGATATTAAAATGATAGCCCCCTCAGCAAAAAAAGAACCAATACTAGAAATGTTATTATTTTTTCTTTCTGAAAAATGTAACACTTTCAATTAAATATTCTACCTACCTCATAACATTTCATTTTTGTAAACTCTCACAAGACATTTTAGAGAAGGTATACCATATTAATCAGGAGATGAATACTTTAAATCAACTCATAAAGTGATTCCCACCACCCCAACCTCATATTTCACTATCCCCTTTCTTGTTTAACGTTTTCTTTAGCATTCCTAGAAACTCCAACATGACAATACAAATAAAGTTAAGACAATTACAATTAATAATAATAATGAGCCGGGCTCGGCTGCTCAGACTGTAATCCCACGCCTTTGGGAGGCTGAGGTGAGTAGATTGCCTGAGTCTGCAGGTTCAGGACCCGCCTGGGCAGCGAGACCTCATCTCTACAATAAATAAAAAAATCAGCTGGGGTGGTAGCACATGCATATAATTCTGGCTACTTGGAAGGCTGAGGTGGAAGGATTGCTGGAGCCCAGCAGGTCGAGGCCGCAGTGGCCGGAAGCGGCCACTGCACTCCAGTCTGGGCGACAGAGTGAGACTCCAAGTCAAAAAAAAAAAAAATAATAATAATAATAATAACTCCATCAATATTATATCTGAATAACAAATTTAAGTTATTATAGTAATTTTATTTTTATTTATTTGTTTATTTTGTTTTGTTTTCGAGTTGGAGTCTCACTCTGTCACCCAGACTGGAGTGCAGTGGCCGTTCCCAGCCACTGCAGCCTTGACCTGCTGGGCTCTGGCGATGCTTCCGCCTCAGCCTTCCAAGTAGCTGGAACTACAGGCGCGTGCTACCACTCCCAGCTAATTTTTTATTTATTGTAGAGATGAGGTCTCGCCAAGTTGCCCAGGTGGGTATTGAACCCGCGGGCTCAGGCAATCCACTCACCTCGCCTCCCAAAGCGCGGGATTACAAGCTGAGCCACCCAGCCCGGCTTGTTTATTTTTTTGATACAGAATCTCACTCTATCACCCTGGATGGAGTGCAGTGGCATGATCCTGCCTCCTGGACTCAAATGATCCTCCCACCTTAGTCTCCTGAAAAGCTGGGTCTACAGGTTGTATGCCACCATGCCCAGCTAATTTTCTGATTTTTGTGTGTGTGTGTGGAAACAAGGTATCATTATATTGCCGAGGCTGGTCTCAAACTCTTGGGCTCAAGCAATCCTCCTGCCTCAGTCACCCAAAATGCTGAATTACAGGTGTGAGCCGCTATGCTCAGCCTGATGATTCTTGAAGAGTATAATATACAATTTTAAAGAGTATGTCAGAGTCCATTATTTGTGAGATTATAAGCAATGAACTCTACGGTAAGAGAAAGTATGTAAATAAATATAAAGTAAATAAATATAAAGACTCTAAGTATCATACCTAAAAGACATAATTATCACTATATTGAAATATTTTTCAAGTACTCTAGAGTAATATACACATAAGTAATAGAACTTTTCTTATTTTGGACTCCAATATTTCTAATATGGTATTTTCTCTCATATGGTACAATTATTTATGTGTGCCATATTTCTTTATGAGACTACTAGGAGCTTCAAAACCATAGGTATATCTCATTATACTTAATAGCATCTAACACAGTACCTTCCAGAAAGAGATACTATGTAAACAAAATAAAAACACTGTACTTCCAAGGGTAGATGCAAAAGTCTACTAAGAATTATACTATCTACTGCAAAGTTTTGGATCTTTTACATTAGTGAACATGCATATAGATAGAAGATCTCTTATTTCCCCCTAGTAAAAATGCAGTCCTCTACGGAGCAAAGTCAGGTATGCATTTGGAACAAGCAGCAGACAAAAGATAATTATTTTAAGAATGGGCACATGGGATATCTAAATAGATATGTCTGAGATTTTTTTTCACAGTATTATTCAGACTATAGTTATTTTATTCATTGAGTTTGGAATTCCATTGAGCATGCTGCCTTACACACCTTGCATTTATACTTCTTTTTTTTTTTTTTTTTTTTGAGTTGGAGTCTCACTCTGTCACCCAGACTGGAGTGCAGTGGCAGCTCCCGGCCACCGCAACCTCGCCTGCTGGGCTCCGGCGATCTTTCCGCCTCAGCCTTCCAAGTAGCCGGAATTACAGGCATGCACTACCACACCCAGCTGATTTTTTGATTTATTGTAGAGATGAGGTCTCGCTGCCCAAGCGGGTCTTAAACCCGCAGGCTCAGGCAATCCACTCACCTCAGCCTCCCAAAGGCGCGGGATTACAGGCTGAGCCACTGAGCCCGGCTGCATTTACACTCTATATCTTTCCTTCAATAAAAAGATTCCAAGGTGGGGGGTCGGGTGGGGGACTCCACAACTGAGACAGAAAGAGAGGAGAGAGACTGACAGAGGAGAGACAGACATGTAGAACATACAAGCAGATACAGAAGAGAGAGACAGAGAAAAATTCTCTGGCTCCTGACTTGTTAATTAAGGCCTCATCCCCTGAAGCTTATCTTCAGTAAACAGGGCCATATTGCAGTACAGAAAAATTTTAATTCTTCCAACAAGGAACACAATGACAATAAACAGTAAAACAAAACATTTCTGTACCTTAATATCAGATGTATCACGCTGACTGTTTCGCCAAGCTCTAGAAACTGATGAAAAAGTTCGATCTGCATGATCAAATTTCCCTCCTTGCAAATTTAGAAAATAAGTTGTAAAGGGTTCCTAAAAAACAGCAATACAAAAATTTATGTTCCCTCATGCATAAAAACATGGTTTTTAATAAATATTTACATCTAAATATTTTAATGATTAATAGACATTAGCCAGTAATTATACTAAGTATGAAATGGGAATTATAGCTACACAATTACTTGATGTTCTTAATTTCTTTTTCTTTAAAAATTACTATTTCTAAATATTTCCAAAACTTCTTATTTGCAACATTTTCTCCAGGCATCCTTCCTTTCCAAGAACAATTTATTAATAACATTCAGATATAAATTACATGTATTTTTTCATAGTACAGGGAAATAGACCAGTATGTAATTTTTCTATTGTTATGGCTCAATATTTAATTTATGATTAGGAAAAGAAAAATGTTTGGAAGATTTAAAAGCCTCCTCTTAGTTAAAGAACACTTAAACACATATTAGTGGATAATTGCTTGAAATTAGCTAAGCACTATAAATTACTTCAAGGATTTATGTCTGCCTATACCCTTCTAACAAGCTTTAATTAATGATGTGCTGCTAATGCTTTCCCAAAGAAATTACTTTCTAGTAGATGAATCACCATTCAATTTTACAGAAACATTTCTTGTTTAACCAATATATTATCAATACACGACAGCCTTGGTGTTACCAACAAACATACCTTATTCTATTTGAGGCAACTGAACTTTCCAAATTTATAAATATATGTCTGTGTTCATAAAATCTTATTTAGTTATTTTCATAGATTACATTTTAAAAACCTATGTTACAATTTATAATCTAGTAAAATGGAACCATTTGAAGAGTCAAATTTAAGGGAAAAATTCACACAATTCTAGATGAAACATTTTTAAGGCAATGCTATAGTAACATGTTATAAAACAAATACCAAATGAGATACAGAGATATTTGTAATTAGAACCTCAATCATTTAAAATTATTTTTAGCAGTCAAAAAAGATGTTGATGATTTCTAATGACTGCATATCTTTGCAACATTGAATTTATTTAGCCATGGTTTATTATTCAAATTGAACTTACTATTCTTAGCAGCCATGCAAGAACAAAACTCGCAGTTGAGTAATGAGTACCATAGTGAAACTTGGGAACTTGATCGTCCTCCCATGATTCATAACGCTCTGCAAAGAATGCTGCTCTTTTTGGATTCAAAGCTCCTATTGGCTGCCAAGAGGGAGGGGAAAAAAAAAAAAACCCAAGAATACATCAATGTAACCGTCTTTCATCTCTTACCTTCTAATGTTATTCTAGTAATACATGAGATAGTGAATTTATAAAATAGATACTTTTTAAGCTGAAACAGTGTTAGAGTCAGACTGTGGATGGAACAACAGATTAATTTTTCAACATAGGTTACATACATATATAAATAAGTGGATGGATTAATCTGTCATTTCTCTGTAAATCTAGTTTCTGTTGAACATAGATTTTTAATCAGCCCATAACAAGCAATACATAAAGACAATTACATGAAGTGAATATTAGCTATACAACACTTTGGAAAGCACCTATAAAATCCCATTTAGCTGATAAGAAGTAACAACCAGAAACAGAATCTTGAAGCTGGAGTAATGGCTTATAATGGATTCTGAGAACAAAACTGGGAGAGGGGTGAGATAAAGAAGAAATTGTGCAAAAACGGGATTAAGATGTAACTAGAAATTTCTATTAGTATGAGTTAAATTAGAAATTACATGATGAAACATGCCTGCATGAGCTATAAAAATATATATAACATAAAAAGGATGGTATGCAGAGTATGAGCTTATACTGGAAAATAATACATTATATTGGAGGTACCCGAGTAGTATAGTAACATGGTAAAGAAACTAGGCTCACTGGAATGTAGTAATACTCATTCAGAAGGTTGTTTTGAAAGATAAAATGCGTGAGTATATTAAAGTCCTACAAACCATGCCTGACCAACTTCAATGAATACTATTTACGATTTTAAAGATGATCTTTGAGAATTGGGGTAAGAGACTTTGAATAAAGCAATTGCCTTTGGAGCTTCTAGCACATTGCTTGGCATGAGATAAAAGCTTAATAAATGTTAGTTGGTACCTGTATCATTATTGTTGCTGATGCTACTGTTATTTAGTAGACACATATGCTCCATTAAATTACGGGCAAAATTTTGTGTGATTCATGCATATGTACATTTTCTCTTAAGGAAGATATAGAGAATACTCTAGAGAGTCTTAAAGGGGTCTAGGGCTCAAAGAATGTTAATGTCAACTGCTTTAAATAACAGTTTACTCTCTAGAAACATTCTGATCTCTAAAAATCTGTCTTATGCAAATATAAATACTAATTCACTGAAGAGAGATATACAAGATCTCTTAAGATAAACAACAGTTTTTTTCTTTATATCTTTAATGAAACCTGAGTTAGTCACCCCTCATTTAAAAAAGCAATAAAATATCTGATCATTTTAGGAAAAATGTTGAGCTATATAAACCCAAAATATTGGTTCAAAAATTGATATATTGAGAAATATTCTCCTGAAAATCAAGCAATGTTCAGATTAGTTTTTGAACTGCATTTTTATGTTATATAATTTACAGCAGCATTTTAAATTCATAATTTTTGTTAACCATTAAATTAGTTATTAACAATTTTACAGAACTACAATTTATCTTTGGTATGATTATCTTTCAATGACTTAGTTCTAATCAACATTGTTTTAAGTAATTTTTTACTTCCTAAGAAAATTTTTTAAAATCTTTAGTTGATTACAATTTTAAGTCAGTCTCACTGTATACTAATTTTAAGATGCTATATTTTAAATTGTTAGTTTCTCTATGAAAGAATTATATCTGACTTACTAAATGTATACCAGTTAAGAATGGAACTGACTCCAAGTGTTCTTTCTTTGTTACAGAAACAATTTGGAATGCTTTTTAATGCATTTGAGTTGTTGTCCCTAAAGAATGAGCCATGAAAAAAAAAAAGAAAGAAATAAAATCACTGAAAGACAAATTATATGAATTAAAAATAGAATCAATGCTTCTTTTGTATGGCTCTGCAGCATATTAAGTATCCACTTTATCTGCTCCTATTTTTATTACTCTCCAAATGAGTAACCTCCAAAATCAATAGTTATAGAATCACGTTTCTTGAATATAATGCTAAAACCAATTAGGATTGATTTCACCAGTGTCTGAAAAAAATGGCATCATGCAGAGATCCATATTGGTTGAACCCACCGTTATTGATTCTGGCTGTTATTGTTACAGCTAGTTTCTGAAGCCTGCTATAGGACAGCTATCAAGACATACCACATTTATTTGCAAGCATATAAAAAAGAAGACCCCAAATAAAAGGTAAAAAAAAAAAAAAAAAAGACCAGTGGAGCTGTGCAATGACAATGATACACTATCAGCTTACTCAGAGAAGTTACAGTGGGAATACACACATTGAATTATACATTACGCGAAAGCACTGATTTATTGTGGTAATAACATCCACCTCATTAAAAGATTCTGCTTTGCTGCAGTTGGAAGGCTACATATTGTTTACTGCTATAAATTAATGGCAGTGCAAAGAAGACTGTGGAACCATCCTAACAATAGATCTGTAATGACAGTGCTGTATATCACAGCTTCTTCAGCAGCTTCATAATAAAATGGAGACAATGTATTGAGCTAATACATTCTACCATGCTGGCCCATATTTTTCTGACAACTGCTTTAAAAGATGAGCTGAATCCAACTATGTTATAATGCTACAAAACATTTAACTAAGCAAGAGTCAGTCACACACCAAAGTGCATCATAGCATTTTTAAAACATTGTTTAAATCAGCATTTCAAGATGTTTATTTATCGCTGCAAAAGAACTAAAAGTAAATGCTGATGGCTCTTCTTACTTATACAATATATTAACAGTAAGGCAGTTCAGGAAGATGCCAAGTACTATCATCCTACACAGAGCCCTTGGTACATTTTAAAAAGCTTGACAAAGTATTTTTTTTAAGTTAGCAGGTTTTTTGTTTTTTTTTTTTAAGGAAAATGACAAAAACACTGGTCATTAAAAATGATAATAACTTTTTGGAAAAAATCAATAAAAAATAAGTATTGATTGGAGAGGATAAAAGTGATTAATGAGGATAAATTCAAGTTCATAACTGGGTAAACTTAATAGCTCTCACATACAGTAAAATAATTTTAAACACTACAAAAAGCTAACATAAAATTACACAAGATTTTTAAACTCTACAAACTAAAGAAAAAACCTCAATCACAATAGAATCAAAGAGTTCAAATAAAACAGAACTAAAGTATCAGGTCTAGCAATAAGGCATGACATTAAAAAATACAAATAAAAACTTGGATTAAAGTAATAAATGACAAATTAAAGAAAACCAAAGCTCTTAAAAATGATATGAATAGAAAAAAAAAAGAAACTGTATTTAGGACATTTTAATAATTTCATAAACAGCAAGGTTGATATCTGTGGTTGTGTGGTAAGTATTCTGTTAATAAGACAGTAATGAGAACTTTCAAACCAGAAAATGCAAGGCAAAGTTTTAAAAATTAGTTTTATAAGAGCAATGCACTATAAAATGCATTTTTTGTTACCTTCTGTGAGAAGTAATTTTGCTAATGTACAAAAATACTGCATGTAAAGTGACCAGCTCTGTTTCTGGTACACAATAAGTTATTAGTAATAATAATAATCATTATTACTTCAGGTTATTTGATCAAGAATATACAAGAAAAAAGCCATTATATAAACCTAATAAAATTAGTGGGGTCTGATAGGAAAGAAAATGATTAAGCATCACAATCTCCTAATAACAAAGCAGGATAAAAATATAATAGTACTGTGTATTGTCTGCCAGAAGCCTAATAGTAGACAGTAGTCTCAGTCAACTGAATTTCTCTACTTCAAGAACATAACCAAAACTAATTTTTTATTTATTGTAGAGATGAGGTCTCACTAAGTTGCCCAGGCTGGTCTCGAACCTGTGGGCTCAGGCAAACCTTTCACCTAGGCCTCCCAAAGTGCTAGAATTATAGGCTCTAGCCACCGTACCCAGCAAAAAGTTTTCTATAACATTTTGGTTTTCCTAATTTCAGTAATTTCTTGTAATTTCAATTTTTCAAGTATAATCTTTATTTAATAGACTGATTTAAAAGACTAATATATGTAAAGTGCTTAGAGCGCTCCTGGCACAGAGAAAATAGTAAGTGTAGCTGCTATTAATGTTGTGGCTGTTATTATCATCATCATGATTCCTTCTTTCCTTTTGAGATCTATATATGAATTACTACAATTTATAACAATCTTTCAGAAGTGAAGTTCCAAACTGCTGAGCCAGGCTTCCAGAGGTAAGAAAGTTATTGGAAATTGGCAAAAAACAAGTAACAACAAAAAAATCAGAATTTCTACAAAGTAGAGATTTGCTTGAGTTAACAAACTTCTCTTTTAAAATTCGGTGGCTCAGCCTATAATCCCGCACCTTGGGAGGATTGCCAGAGCCCAGCAGGTGGAGGCTGCAGTGGCCAGGAGCAGCCACTGCACTCCTGTCTGAGTGACAGAGTGAGACTCCAACTCAAAAAAAAAAAAAAAACAAAAAAACAGCTGGGCTCGGTGGCTCAGCCTGTAATCCTACGCCTTTAGGAGGCTGAGGTGAGTGGATTGCCTGAGTCCGCGGGTTTGAGACCTGCCTGGGCAACTTGGTGAGACTTCATCTCTACAATAAATCAAAAAATTAGCCGGGTGTGGTAGCACGCCTGTAATTCCAGCTACTTGGAAGGCTGAGGCGGAAGGATCGCCGGAGCCCAGCTGGTTGAGGCTGCGGTGGCCGGGAGCGGCCACAGCACTCCAGTCTGGGCAACAGAGTGAGACCCCAACTCAAAAAAAAAAAAAAAAAAAGTCAAAAGTCTCTAAAGAGTTTTTCATATCTTTCTGTGAAGACTTTCTTTGGAAAACCATTAAAGTCTAACTTTTGGAGATAAGAAACAGAAAAAATGAGGGTTAAAGAAAAGGAAAAAAGGAAAAAGGTAACTAGGTAGGGTAAGACTAAGAAATAGGGCCCTGGGAAACGCTAAAGGATACTGTTTCATAAAGATACATTTTGTGGAATTATAGGAGAAGAGATGTCAAAAGTGAAAAAGGGTTCAGGAAGGGGGAAGCAAAGAGCATAGCAACTTTTCA